GAAATGTGAAATAAAGTGGCAATACCAGCGATTTCAGGTTAATAAGATCGATGCATCTGATATGAGAATTGATAGAGTGTCAAATAAGAATAACGGGGCAGTGGTTATAAACGCAAATAGCGTTTCAGATAAGGACAGAATAAAATCTGCTCTAGCAGACAACTTAAATAAAGAAGTGTACGACATCACCGAACCCAAAGTTAATACGCCTAAAATTTTGTTAGCGCACATAAACGCTGAATATTCTGAGACGGAGATAATAAATAAGATAAAAGCTCAGAATAGCTATTTAAATGATGCGAGTTTGAAATGTGTAAAAATAGTCCAGGCGCAGTGGTGAGGCATTTCCTTCATTCAGTGCAATAATAGAAATTGAGCACAAATTCTTCCTGCAGGTATTGGAGTCAAAGAGACTTAATATTGGGTGGGATCGATGCCCCGTCTATGATGGGCAAACCGTGAGAAGATGCTACAAGTGTCTGGGCTTCAACCATAGCTCTAACAGCTGTAACAAAAAGCTTAGGTGTAGCAAATGCATGGGAGAGCACAAGTCTGAAAGTTGCACTGACAGTAGCCAAAAAGAAGTTTGTGGAAATTGTTGTGATGCTGTTAAAGAGTTAGGGCTAAACCTGGATGTAGCGCACAACGCATTTAGTCGTGAATGTCCTGTCTATATTAGGAAACTGAAACTAGAGAAACAAAGAGTAGGATGTTAGCAATTAGGTGTAATGGAAAAGCGTAACAGATACTTAAAATGCGTGTATCTTAATATAAATAGTATAATAGCCAATAAAGCCGAGCTTGAAAGGCTTCTTGAGACTGTTGATCCGGATATAGTTTTATGCTCCGAAACATGTACAACAGAGGAAATAAACGACTCCGAAATCAAGTTTCCAACTTATCAGTTTATTAGATGCGACTCGTATAGTAGACACACTGGTGGGGTAATTGTAATTTTGAGAGACACAATAGACTTTAAAATAATAATAAATAGATCCACTGATAAAAATGTCTGGTGTATAGTGGTACAATTGAGAAATTTTGAAACCAAATGGAAAATCGGGGTAGTCTATCACTCACCCAGTTCGAGTGATGCAGATTTTCTGACATATATGGAAGCCATTTTGTCCGAAACATGCGCTAACATGGTAAATACCATTATTATTGGGGATTTTAATATAAATATGAATATATCATCGACATATAGTAGGAAGCTTAATGAGATATTCTCTCAGCAGGCAATGAAACAGTTAATCAACTTTGATACCAGGGTTACTGCACAGTCCGAAACGCGCATCGACTTGTTATACTCTAACACTAATGAAGTTTCATGTGAAAAAGCTGAGGAACATAGAATAACGGATCACGAAACCATAATGTTCAAATGCAATATAAAAAAA